GCAAGTGGAAACATTCATATGGAACAACAATCCTCTTGCCACCTCTACCACGTGCCAACTCTTCCTCTCAGCCACACCATTTTGCTGGGATGTAAAAGCACATGAACTCTGATATAATACTCCTTTCTCTTCTAAAAATTTTTCCAAACTCTTCTCAAAATATCTTTTACATTATTTGATCTAAATGCTTTTATTTTCTTCTCATATTGCGTCTAGACAATATTGTAGAAGTTCTTAATGACTTGAGGTACCTCCTCCCTGCTCCTAAAATGAAATATCCACATCCACCCATACAAAGAAAAGAGCAAGGTTGCCAAACATCAAAATGCACAAGATGAGAAAAATCAAATCTTCTTTTACTTTTTGGAGAATAAGTTATTCTCAAATGTTAAGATAAATAAAACTTATTTTAAAAAGGTCCTTGAAATTGCAACTGATGCAGTGCAGCCATCTACAGACTACAGCAATAGAAGATCCAGCAAATCAATTGCTGGAGAGATTTGAGCATCCCAAAGTTACCAAAACATATGAGGGAAGAAGGAATAACTAATGGATGCACCCAGATTTAGAAGTTGACAGCAGTTTAAAATTTATGGCTTCGTTCTTTTATTCAGCTACTATTTTAAAAAGATCTGCAATTAGTAGTTTCCTTTGTTTAGGAAATTATTAGTTTAGTCAACGTCTATTTTTCCGTGTCTCTATATCTTGACTTTCTATTTCCTGGTTTCTATGTTACAAGTTTCTATTTTTAGGAGCTTCTAGGATTCTAATTAGGAGGACAAATGCAGTATTAGTAATTGATAAGTTTCTAAGCTTTGAGGAGTCTATATATAATATAAAGGGTAAATTACAAAGACCCCCTTCCGTTAGCCTTCCGTCCAAAAAGGCCATTGCAATATTTTTTAATTCCCATACTACCCTTATAATAACTATTCCGAAGAGAAAAATACTGTTCATCTTCCCCGACCTTCCTTCACGTTTGCTCCGGAAAATCACACTCACCGATACGCACTGTATACAATAATGAAGCAAGGAAGTACAGCCCTTGGATTGAAGAAAACTTAGGGATAATTTAAGTGATTTTTTTAATCCTTCTAGTTTGGATTAAGTATTTTACCCAAATTTGGAGCGTATATGAAGTTTCCCCTCATGGCCCATGGTTCCCTTTTCTAAATCAACAGCCGTATAATCCATGTAGTGCAGAGAAATAGAGTGTCATGATCATCTTACTTTCTAATACAGCAGAAGATTCTTCAATATTTTGTTAAAGAATCGTACTTCAATATTTTTGCCTTGAGCACGGTAGCAGAGGAAGTTTAACTGCTTCACTTTCATCTCTAAGTGACACAAAACTTGATTTGAAAATGTTGATCAGAACGATTGGACAAGTGAAGAGTAAGTTGGGTAAGAAGTTAGCAAGGTTTCTGGGAGGAACACTAACTGTTTGTAGCAAAGCTGCAGTGGAAATGGCTGCTAAAGACAGAGAGTTAAGGATCTTCATGGTCTCTGGAGAAGTTTCAGGAGATGTCATAGCTTCTCATCTCATGGCGTCTCTTAAGAAGCTCTGTCCATTCCCAATCCGTTTCGCCGGTGTCGGAGGGTACGCTAGCCTTCTTATGCTCCGATCTTAACCAATGTTTCACTAACTTCGTTCATCTGGGTTCAAAACATCTTGGGCTTATTTCATTGTTAAACTGATAAACACGAAATTGTGAAGTAGGTATCAATTAATTGAGCAATTTATGTTGATGGCATCGGATTGTGAACTAACCTTCTAAAATCCTTTGCCCTTTCTTTCATAGTTGCCTTTTCCACATCTTCATCACATCCGATGATTCCAATGCAACCCACCACAACTCGGCACACCAGTATGGCACGCTTCAAATTCATGAAGGCGAATTCCTCTTCGATCTCATCGGGCAGCGCCACGTGTGATCTCCAGCTGCTCGATAGCGTCAATATGCCATCCATCTTGGCGGAGAACCCCGACCTTATGATACGCAGATGCTGCAGTACTGCTGAGTGCAGAGACTAGAATTCCCGTTGATTCCCAAATCACAAACAAAAGTCGAACAGTGGAATCTCAACAGTTTGTTACCATCTGCAATGCACCTTTCATCTCGTTTTCTAACCCTGTTTCGTACAGCTTTCAGTTTCACGTACAATGATTTGAACGATATTTTTCCCTGAATCGCCATCCACGAGCTCTGAAACGGCCTGCTTGAGAAATTGGTGTTGTTCGAGAAGTTGGTTTTTGGGGAAAATCTCTCTGCATATAGGGCAGGGGGATATATCGTATCGGAGTGGAAACGAAGATTGGTCGACGGAGCTATCGGGCTCTTTATGAGAAGGAATTGGTCTCTTGAGCGGGGAAGCTGAGACAATAGGTTGAGGCATCAGTTGCTGTGACGATCTCGCGGATGATAAAGCTGGTGTTGTGGGGTGGGTTTCAATATCTTTCTTTGGATTCTTAAAGGAGAAGATTCATTTGAGATAGGAGAAAGAGGAAGACAGACATCGGAGAGAGAGAGGAGAGAGAGGGAGAGAAATGTGAAGGAAGGTCGGGGAAGATGAACAGTATTTTTCTCCTAGTTATTATAAGGATAGTATGGGGATTAAAAAATATTGCAACGGCCTTTTTGGACAGAAGGCTAACGGAAGGGGGTCTTTGTCTCACGGTCATAGTACTGGGGGTCTTTGTCACAAAACAAAGTACAGGGGGGGTCTTTGTCACAGACCCCATAGTACAAGGGGGGTCTTTGTAATTTACCCTAATATAAATCTGTTTAGAACAGAAGAATTGAATGAGTTAGTTTTTATTCTCTACAGTTGTCTTTCAAATCAATGTTGGAGAAACATGAGATTTCTTCCTTTCTCTTTGTTATGTTCTAGTGCTTCTCTGCCACTAGAAGCAAACCAGCAACTATTCTCTGGATTTTCTTCTAGATTCAGAACATACTTTATTGGATTTTGAAACAAGGATACCCATTGACTTTGCCTTTATTTACCAGCAACCCTACATTAGTTGGTACCAAAGCAAAGATGCCTCCTAAAATGGCCTTCAATCCTTCTCCCAACAAGGAAACCAACGAAAATAATATTAAAATTATCAAGGAGTTATTGCAGCACCAAGAAGATTGAATGTTAGACATGATACGGTGACAAGAAAAACATAAACACAAAATTCAAAAGAAGAATTAGTTGCATAGCTTAGCAACTTAATTCACCAGTTGGTAAAACCCCAAGGACCACAACTTTCTAAGCAGCCACGGAGTTTGTGGAGCAAACCAGCCCCAAAAATCTCTTTCAGCTACATTACCAACCCATTAGGCCTATCTCTAACTTTCATTGCCCCAACCTTAGTCAAGGCCCTCTTCAGTCCACAAGATTTCAAAATAATTTCTCTACTGCCAAACGAGCCACTTTTCGCAAACCAGCTGCTAATAAGATTGGTGTGAAGTGATTTTCTATGGAGAATGGGGTCACATTGAATTAGATTGCATGCACACCCAACAAGAGTTACTGGTGCAAGAAGGTGGAGAGTTTGTCAATCAATATCAGCTAGAAGAACCTGAAGTTCCTAATGAAGAAGAGGCAGTGGATGTTGATTATATTCTCTATGAAGACTCTTATGGTCCTAGTTTAATGAACTCAAAAAGGGAGAGAATATGGTATGTGTTTCTAAAACCTGAATTTAAACTTGATCTGGAAGACCAAGAGATGATATTTGCTTGTGTAGAAAACGGATATATTTTGGACAAGCAAGGTGTTCTAGAACAAGTAAAGACCCTATTAGAAGAGTTTAAGGATGGTTTCACTAAAGATTTGCCACCTAAATTGATACTTAGCATGCAACACCATATTAATCTTACACCTGAAGAAGCTCTTCCAATAAGTCTAATTATAGGATGTCTCTAAAGAAACAAGTGAATCTACATTGTTGTAAACGTGTCTTTGACGTTAGAGATGAAGTGTGGGTGCATCTTTGTAAAGAAAGGTGTCATAGTGTAGGAAATCATAACCTCAATCCTAAGAAGCTTGATCCTCCTGATATTCTAGCAAGAATTAATTGCCATGTTTACAAAGTGAAGCTGCTACAAGATTTGTAAGACACTTTCAATGTGAAGCATCTTTCACCTTATTACAGGGAGCATTACAGTCAGAACTCGAGGGCGACTTCTTTTCAAGAGGGGGTGACTGACGCAGTACAGCCCTCTAAGAAATAGAAGATACAACAAATAAATTTCTGGAGAGATTTGAGCATCCCAAAGTTACCGAAACATATGAGAAAAGGACAAACTAATGGCTGCACCCAGATTAAAAGTTAACAGCAGTTTCTGAATTTATGGCTTCTATTTTTTTATCCTGATGCTGTTTTAAAAAATCTGCAATTAGTAGTTTCCTTTTTTTTCTGTTTAGGAAATTATTAGTTCAGTCAACTACTATTTTTCTGTGTTTCTATTCTTCGAGTTTCTATTTACTGGTTTCTACGTTAGAAGTTTCAAGGATTCTAATTAGGAATCAAGTGGAGTATTAGTAATTGCTAAATCTAAGCTTTGAGGAGTCTATATATACATGTAAATCTGTTTAGAACAGCAAAATTCGATGAGTTAGTTCTTGTTCTCTCTACAGTTGCTCTTGAAATCAGTTCGGAAAAATACATGATTTCTTCTTTGTCTCTTTGTAATACTCTAGTGATTCTCTGACACTAGAAGAAAACCAACAACTATTCTCTGGATTTTCTTTTAGATTCAGAGCATATTTTGTTGGGTTTTGAAGCAAGACAACCAATTGAGCTTCCCTTCCATCTACCAGTCCCTATGTTAGTTGGTATTAGAGCTAAAAACTCTACATTACCTTTTCACCCATATGTCTGCAATCATGAGGAAATGCCTACTTCAACAAATTATTGATAGAATAGATAAACTAAATACACACAATATAATTTTAAAATAAATTCATTATTTAATTTATATGAAAAATATGTTTAGAAGAAATACCTCCAAGTTAGGCCACTGAACCATTTCCTCTGCAAGCATACGCAGGGCAACACGGTTTTCAGGAATTCTTCCTTCGTTCACCTGTATAAGTATGAATTTGCTCATAAATGTTGCAATAACACAGCTTTTTTTCCTTGAAGATCAAATTAAGCACGGTCTTCTTGGTATTCATCAATATGCAAAGCAGAAAGTCAACTTGATGTGGGATTATTTGAGGTCAGCAGTAAAACCAAAGTTTTAAGAACATAACAAGAATAATTACTAAGACTTAAAGAATCTTTTAAAAGGTGAAGTTGTGACTCAAAATGCTACAACCTTCGGATGCATGAGGCATAATTTTGGACACAAAAGGGATATCCTACTGCCTAAATTGATATAATTCTGTCTCCAAACTAGGAATTCCTAGAAAACATAATAAAGTGTGTCCTGGATTTTCCAAGCATTTATTCTTTAGCTTCAAACAGATCAGCTAAAGTAAGTGATTGTTTTGAAACCTTGGGGGGACAACAGATTTGGATTCCCCAGCTTCATAGGGAAATTAATGATTGGGATGTTGATGCCTTATCTAATTTGATGCTTTTGTCGGGAGGCTTTAAACCTCATCCAGCTCTAGAGGACAGCTTAGTTTGGTCCAGCGATAAATCCTCTTGCTTCACTGTGAGCTCAATATTCAGAAGCCTGCTAACTGCCCCTGTTGAGAGGGTGACCTGGAGTTAGATTTGAAAAGCCAAAACCCCTTCTAAAGTCACTTTCTTCCTGTGGGCAGCAGTAAGGGTAGGATTCAAACTATTGACTTCTTGCAATATAAAGGTATGATCCTGGTGAACTACTACTGCTTATGTGGGATGGCAGCAGAGAATGTACAGCACATCCTCCATTGCAAATTCTCTTGTGCAATCTGATCTCACTTATTAAACCCCTTTGGTGCCTCGTGGGTGGCCCCACAAGACCTAGAATCTCTTGTCTCCTCTTGGAAATTAGTAGGCTTGTCAAACAGGGGAAAGATTATGTGGGGCATGGCGCCTGGTGCTCTATGCTGGGATGTGTGGAAAGAAAGGAATTAGAGAACTTTCCATAATCAAGCTTTGCCAGTGGAGAAAGTTTGCAGTTAATTGGAAAGGTTATTAGTGAAATGGGATTCTACTCACAGCCTTTTCAGGGGTTTTAAGTTCAGTCACTTCTCCAATTTGAAGTAATCTTGTTGTTTTCTCTTCCATGTGCTTGTACAAAGTACAAAGAGATCCTCTCTCTTTCCTTTTCATCTTTAATGTAATATTTCATCACCTTTCAAAAAAAAAAACATAATAGTGTAGCGATAAAAAAAAAGAGAATAAAGTGAGATCAACTTCATGAACTCAAGGTCATTATGCAAAGTTAGATCCATTGGCCAATTGACTTGTGTAACCTCAACATTCAATATCTATTCCTGTATGGTCTCATTTTTCAATTATTCAACCTTTTCATGTTACCAAGTTCAACGTTAGCCAAATTAGTCAATATTTATATGCCTCCTCACAACAAACAGTTTGTAGTTTGTTATACATAACAAGTAGTTTTGTTGGTTGATTAACTGATCGCATTTTATTCATGAATTAGGTATGAATCAAGAAGTGAAGTACATACATCTTCTAGAGCAGCAACTAAGTCATCCCTTGTTGGACCATCCTCATCTTCTATGCCAAGTAATCTCCTGCGCTCAACTTCTCTTGGGTCTTCAATCATGACAGTTAATTTAACCTAATAAAAGGCAGGAACAAAGAGTTGGTTACAGTTCATTTGCACACAAAGTGCCCAAGAAGGATTTGAAATGCTCACCAGCAAGCCGAGCATGAGAAAGAGTGATGAAATAAAGAATAGCTAGTAACTATTAACAAATAATTATAGTTTTAAATTTAAATGGCAATTATATCTTAAACCCAAAATTCGGTTCATGGATAAACATGGATACAAAGAATCATAAATTAAATTAAGTCAATAAAGAAATCCAGCATATCAAATTTCTAGATATGCTCATGATTCAAGTAAATACCAATAATTATAATCACGAGTGGGTAAAGGAAAATGTATAATTATGTCTAGAATTAAAGAAAATTAAAAGAAACGACTTCATGCAACTGGGATGCAAGTAAAACTGCATAGAACTCACCTCGCCGAAAAGCATGTCTCTGTTTTTCTTGAGAAGCTCCAACACCTACACAAACAAAATATCCAAAAAAGGAAAATTATTAAGAGAATCTCATTTATGAGAGAGAAACTGAAGTGTTTTCATAAAAACGCAGGCGGTTGGTAGCCATTTATTTTGTCAAAGCGAAAGAGAGAGAGAGAAGGGAGGATAACTCTTTGGATCTGGTACACATATTCGAGGTCTTCTGGACTTGGGTCCTGTTGTTCTTGTTCTTGTTGTTCTTCTGCGGGCGAGAGACGTAATTCTGTCTCTTCCTTGCCAACAAAGGTAACGCCATTGGCCCTTCTTCGGCGGCGGTTCAAATAAATGGCAGTGACACCACTGGCGCAGGTAGATCGATAATTGGGAGAGAAATGGTGTTGGTGGCGTAAGGAGAGAAGTGGGCTTTCTATAGAAGTTGAAGGTGAAGAGGAAGCTATTGGCAGGTGAAGCAATTGCAGAGCCATGACAGGCCAAAAGGATAAGGAAGAGGAGGGCTTATCTCCTTCCTGGGCAGCTGGGTTCTCCGAAAAAAAAAAAAAAAATCTAAAAGCTTTGCATTCCAAACTGTATCTGAAGAACCCAAAAAAGAAAAAACAGGAAGAGAAGCTGAAACGGAAAGACTATGGCTATGCTGTGGCGTGTAGCAGTGACAGACTGGTAGTGAGGTAGTGACGTCTCTCTCGGACTCTCACTCCGTTCGGTTCGTGGTTTATAGCGTCGGATCAAGTTCTTGCCGGTTTGATTAGATAATACATTTGCTTGGAATTTCGATTTTCGATAAGGTTAACCAAAGAAGTAAGAAACCAGCTTTTCTTTGACTTCTTCTCCAAAGAAAGCAAACCCGTTAATTAGTTGATGATTTTAGTTCTTTCACTTTTTATCTCCTCTTGCTCACACGATATAAAGATTTCGTGGCCAGGGTTTCCAGTCACTCTATTAATAGAAATACTGGATCATAGGTTCAGACACGTGTGAGAAAGGCGACATAACGGAACGTCGGAATCAGCTGCTCATGTGAGGAGGAAGTGAACGAGTTGGGATCTCTGCCAACAAAACACGTTCGACGTTTCAATACGAATTCTCATCAGCACCCCACAGCCCATCCCATCTGTGTATTGGGAATATCTCCCCATGACAAGTACGAAAGATCTTCCCAATGTATGCTAAGATGTGTACATGAGGTGCTTGTGGGTTGGGATGGATTCAAGTCGAGCATAGCCGAATACTTAACTGTTCAATCTCGGTTTGCAGGAATAGTATCAGGTTCGAGCTCAAGCTCGATTTGAGATAGAGACTTGAGCCCGAGCTCGACTATAAGCTAAGTTTTTTTGAAAAATAAAAATTGTATGTATAATTTTTTTTCAAACAAAAAATTAAGATTATAAAAATTATTTGCTATTATGCATAAAAATAAAAATATTATTATATATAATAAAATAATTTATTATATGTATGTATGTATGTCTATATGTATGTATATATATAATAAAAATTATTTATTTAATTCTAGGCTCACGAGTCGAGCTTCACTAAGCTCAAGCTTGGCTCGACTAGCAAACGAGCCTATATATCAGGCTCAAATTCGACTCAAAGCTTAGTTTAAACCAAGCCAAGCCGAGCTCAAATAGCTCGTGAAAGGCTCGGCTCGTGGCCAACCCTACTTGTGTGGCATCAATCTGATATCTTCCAATCCCCTATTAACATGATCTGACATTGCATATCTTGACTTCAAGTTGGGATCACTTGCCAATAAAAGACATTCCAACACCCAACACCCTCCCAGCAAGTTCTAACACCAACACCAAACATCACACACATGGTGGGTCTCAGACCCAGTAGACTTTGGATCTCCTGCCAACAAGAACTCTACCCACGTCTACCCACAACACACTACCCCCCGTGAATTGGTAACATCTCCCCCTGCATAATACTATGTAGGAGGATGAGATGTTCTCCATGTGTGACTGCGATGTTATGTGGGTAGACGTGGGCAGGAGATCTAGACTCGACTCAACATATCTCATATTGGTTCACAGGAATAGGGGTCTACAATTGGAATCAGAATGGCATTCTTCAATTTGAGTGGAATGGCATTTCTTCACTTCAAAAGGGAATTGATCATTTCCCTCCCCTCTGTTAGGAATGAGATCTCATCCCAATTAATTCCAATTTCCATCTAAATCTCATTCTCATTCCTAGTGGAATAGCATTCTTCAATCAGAGGGAATGGTCAATTCCCTCCCATCTCTTAGGAATGAGATCTCAACCTAACTGATTCCAATTCCCATCTATCTAAACTAAATAGACTATAAGAATAGATCATTGGATTCCGATTCTGAAAGATTCTCATTCTAATTTGGATTCTGAGGGATTTCCATTCTGATTCTGTTCACAATAAAAGCTATCTCAACATGGTCCCAACATGATTTATGTTCACACATTTCACCATAAAACTAGCACCCATCATGAGACTATGATCCACCATGCATGTGATGTGTGGACATATATTATGTTGGAATGTGTTGCAATAGCTTTTTGTTATGAGCAGATCCAGCTGGGGGTGTCAATTGGACTGGATTTGGTCCAATCCGGTCCAGTCCAATGTGAGTCCATTACAAATGGACCTGGTCCAATCCAGTCCAATGAATATTTTGAACCATTTTGGACCAGTCCAGAGACTGTTCAATCTGTTCAAATTCCTGTTAAATTAGATTGGTCTCAACTCAAACCTGCTCCATTGACACCTATGTTCTAATCTTCTATCAATGGACCAGAAATTGGCTCAATCTAATATAAATTCATTATGAAGGGACCAGGTCCAATCTAATATGTTATATTGGTCCGTCCAATCCATCCAAATTCAATATGTCTTATTGGTCCATCCAATCCGTCCAAATGGATTTTGATTTGAATGGAGTCCAACCCAAAACCGGTCCATTAACACCCCTAGATCCAGCCCCCTATTTTTATGACGAGTCTCAGTCTCATAGTACATGCTGATAGGGTGTTGGGAGTGTTTTGTAGAGAGGAGATCCGGACTCGAAGTAAACTGAAATGCAACTTTTGTCGGACCACGGTCAATGCAAAACCAAAAAAAAAGTTGGATCACCAAATCCGAGTCTAAGATGCTGAATCTCTAATTCACGCAAGGTTTTAAATATTGATACGCCCGATACGTTAGTAGGGGCATATTGGACATCGGCACTTTTTTATTTATTTTTTTTTTCAAATTCGGTTCAGGAGGCCGGCTGGTTTAATGTTCCTCCACCCCTTGAATCGGTCAAAACCTCAATATACCCTCTATAGGGGCGTATCGGGGTGTTCCCGATACAAAGGTGACATCGAGTTAGATTGGACATTACTTCATTTTGGATTAGAAAAAATAGTCCCTCATATCAATTTTTGTTGCAAGGGGCAATATACACCCAATCCAGATCACCTGCTAACAAAACATATTTCAACACCCTACCAATAAAATCGGTCACCGCACATCTCATCATGAGACTGGAACTCACCATGTATAAAATGTGTGGTGTTAGATCATATTGGTAGGACGTTAGAACGTATTTTGTTGGTAGGAGATTCCAACTCATATACACCCATTGAACCCCAAAATCAGGGTCATTTCCATATAGTTCTCATTGTATTAGATCGATATATAGGTTAATAAGAACCGGTAGAGACAACAATGGATCTAAATACAATTTCATGTGAAACTTACAGGGACGTTCCTTTTTTTTGGATTTTGAGAGGGGGGAAAGTTGGTCAATGGGATTTTGGTTCCCATTAATGAAGAATCCTATATTCTTTTTTCAGTTTTATGTGGAAACTAGGGAAAGTTTATTTTCCTGTGTATCCATCTTCTAGATGAGTAAATAACTTTCCCACATAGAGGGAAAGTTGTCAACACTTGAATGGGACGAAAATGCCCCTTTTAATAATGGATTTATATGGCTAAAATGGTCATTACCTTATTTACCTAGGAAATAAAAAAACATGGGTAAATGCACTTACCCAGGTAAGTGTTTTCCAGGAAAAACTTACCCAGATAAATAACTTACCGAAAAATGAACGAAGCCTTAAATGTATCTATTAATTAAATTTAACTAAAATATTTTTCCAAAAAAATAACTGAAAATAAAAGAAAAATTGTAGATCAGAATGAATAACAAATAATTATATGGCATATTAAGTAGACTTGAATTGTTGGTTTTCAGATCCCATCTATAAAGTATAAACGGCTAATGCATTATGTAATATTTATACATTAATTTGCAATAGGTTAAATATTTGCACTCAATGTTAGGTTTTGTGTTGTACCAATTGCAACATAGGTTGTGTTTGGTTGCAGCGCAATTTTTGGAAGTGCAAATGAAAAGATTGAAAATTCTGATTTGATTTTGTTTTGTGTTTTATTTTATTTTTCTTCGGATCTTGTTTTTCTTCATTTGTATTGCAATAAAACAAAAAAAAAAAGATACAATTTGAAACAAAAAATAAATCAGAATTTGCACCTAAATCATTTTCATTACCATAATTTTGTATCAACTTACACCGTAATCAAAGGCATTCTTAGGCTCAGTTTGGAAATAGTATAAATAGAAATATGTACAGTACAAATATAAGGTTTAAGGGTAAATTGCTGAAACCTCCCCTAAAGTTTTTGGTTGTTGCTGAAACCTCCCCTAAAGTTTGGTAATTGTAATCACCTCCCTTGAACTTTCTAACATAGTTGCAAGGTTTGGTAGAACCATAGAATCTTCTAAAAAAATGCATAAAAATGTCCAAAATACTCATACAATTACTTTTAACAAAAATATTTATTTTTCAAAATTTCTCTTCATATGAATCATTACCCCAAACCCTTCCAATCTCTTTTCTAAAATTGATTTATTTTCCAAATTTTCCCTTCATATCAATCACTCAAAAGTAAAGTTGCAACTTTAAATTCTCATTGTTTTTGGTGTTCATAAAGTTCGTATTGTTTTTTCCCTAAAAATCAGTCTCAATAGTAACTACATGGGTATTTTGGACATTTTATGCATTTTTTAGAAGATTCTACCAAAGGGGTCTACTTGCAATTGTATAAGGAATTTCAGGGAAGGTTATAAAAATTACTAAACTTCAGGGGAGGTTTCAGCAACAATCAGAAATTTCAGGGGAGATTTCAGCAATCTACCCGAGGTTTAAAGTACAAAATAGTGAAATACAAGGTTTTGCACTGTATATTTTTATATTTGTTTTGGGAAGAATACAAATACAAATATGTACAGTGCAGATACAAGGTTTACAATACAAAATACAAAGTTTTGCACTACACGTATTTATATTTGTAATCTTTCCGAACTGAGAGGTAAGAAAACAAAATTTATTAACTCAAAGCTAAACCAAGTCTACATTTTTATGAACCGAACATATTTACACTTGCGCTAAACCTATTGTGGCATTCTTATCAAATGCAGCCTAAGAAATTTCCCTCAACTTTTTCTTTCATATTTTTCTATCAAACCAAACACAGCCTAAATGGCTAAATATCAATTGGTAAACCAGATTTCTTTAGTCCATGCATAGATTAGATCAACCAAATCTATAGGATACCATAAGTAACCTTTTTCCATGGTTCCTTACGTATAACAATCTATACTAATGGCGTGGTTGTGTACTCACAATGGCCTGCGAGATGAACAGGGTGATGAAGGAAGATTTGGCCCAATCTCTTGACCACTCAACACGTGGCAGAGGCAACAGCTCGGCAC